CAGGAAAAGAGGCTGCCCTCTTGTTTCTGGATCACGTGTATCGACTACACAGGATGCCCGAGTCCATAGTATCAGATCAGGATCCGCGTTTTACGTCGGGTTTTTGGCGACATGTGTTTTAGCTGCTGGGTAGCAAGCTCCACATGTCAACCGCTGATCATCCCCAGACCGATGGCCAAATGGAACGTGACAATCTATTCGTGGCGGATGTGTTGCGTACTGTAGAGACTCCCAAAGAATGGAGCAAGCAATGACATTCGTGAAGTTCGCTATTAATAACGGTGTTCACGCCAGTACGGGTGAAACACCGTTTTACATTACTGGACTGCGTCATCCTCGAACGCCAGTCTGGTTTGTGCGCATCCCGAGTCTTAGTAGGGGGAGGGCCCCTCACTTCGCTCGGTGCGAATGCCAAAGAGGGCCAATATGCCTAGTGACACTGCTAATTTAGCAGTGGTCACAACACCTATAGGTGTCACAAAGGAGGCACGGCAAGAAATGCCTACGATGACAATATAGTGTTATTAACAGCGTCGACTTATCACCGACCCCTTAGAGGTGTAAGGCGATGATAAATGCGTGAGCGAAGCTCAGCGCTATGGGGATGAGCGATTAGCCATCACACGTAAAGTTTGTGACGTGATGACATGCGCACAGGACAAGCAAAACAATATGCGGACCAACATGGTCGCAAAAACAATGAACACTTTAGTGTTGGGGACAAAGTGCTATTAAGTACTGCTACCCTAACTAAAAGTGCAATATCTGTACTACCTGGTGGTACTACTAAGCTATTGCTCCGATTTATTGAGCCCGTTACAGTGGTTGAAGAAGTTGGAGACCTAAATTATAGGCTCAATCTTCCATCGTATATGGAGACGCACCCCGTAAATTATATATGTCGTCTGAAACGGTATGTGGATCCAGAAGAGATCACATATTCGCATCAGTCTAATGAGACCGATGGTGACGTCGACTGTGAGTCGAGAGTCGTTGCCGATAAGGATACGGTAAATCCAAACGACTTCCCGGATACGAGAACGACGATAGAGGACTCGGTGATCGAGGACGACTACGCGTTTGACGCGAGTCTCTCATCATCAGTCACTCAAAAAAATTTAAACAAAGTTTTAGGCGGTCATACTTAAGACGGTCCTTTGCCCTCACATTTCCTAGATTCGAAGTCAGTCGCGAGACTTGATTCGAATGATCAGCCACCTCTCTCTTCAGCGCAGCGTTTCCCACCTGCAACCGAACGGCAACAGGGTTAGCAGCCCCGAGTAGCTGGGTGTAATCGCCGCTTCTATCGGGCGCCACCTGTGCTGGTGGATGCGGAAGGGAACACACGCTTCCTTGTTAAAAGGTTATTGGTCCACCGTCATGTAACGCAAAAGCTTCAGATCCTTGACAGTGGAAGGGATACCCGAAGAGCTTCGACTCTTGGGAACCGGTTAACGCGTTGCGTGTCGACGTGCCTGGACAAATTTCCCATCAAAGCAATATGGTCATCACCACATAAAGATGTTGGCAATGGCGCGTTCTCATTGTAGTCTACAGTGAGATACCTATTTTCAGCTGCACAATAGCGGGATGGACCAGTGTTATCTGCTGTCATAAAGACCCTAATTTTCGGCGTTGTCACAGAGACACTTAGCGACAACTGTAAGTTATCGCGGTGCGTACGCTTTGTTCTGGTCTGCATGGACGCCTTTGCAGGCGACCCATCATCCTTACCACTTTTCGGTGGCATCTTTTCGTTGTCGATGTTTTACAAAATGCAAAAATCGTCTGAAAGAGGGGGATGGTGTAACAGGATTAACATTACACGTACCCGTTTAGTATGCGATACTTTACGAGCAGGTCTAAAACGGTATGTAAGTACTAAAGACCTGAGACACATCATGTGTCACACCCTTGCGTATGTAGGTGTATTCAAATTGATGGAGATGACGCCCAGCTGGGACTAGGCGTCATCAAATGACGTCAGTCAGTTAAGTCACTAAGCGAGCTTTACTATCACTTACGTCATTAAGCGAGCTTAGCTATCTAAGCTCGCACGTTGGGATGCGCATCTATAGAGATGGCACCCATCATTACATATTAACCAATCAGTAGCTAGATTTATATTTACTTGCATTCTACTAAATGTGAATCAGTCTTGAATTTACTAATTACCGTCCACCGCGCACGAGAAACTGAATAAGCTTCTGCGTGACGCAAGTGAGGCACTTCTTAGTTGTTCGTTGCGCGGATCGCTCAAAGTGGCAGCTTATTTACGAAACGCCCGTCTACAACCAATGCCACGCATGCACCTCCAACTCCGACACCCGCGAACTTGGCCTCGCAGTGAAGAGCTACGTCACTAATGGGCTACATCTCTTTTCCTTCGATTAGTCGCATCCGTATGAAGCTTCGTGATCAACAACGTACTGTCGTGTTCTTCTCATTTTGTCAAGCTTCGACGCAGGACTTCGTAAAATTGGAGATAAAGAAACGCTTTACGATAGGAATGTCATGGGCAAACAATCGTACACATACTCTGCATCAGGTTGCACCGGCCAACTATTCACATTCCTGCTGCTATAAACCATCTCGTATGACTTAGCAGCTTGACAATAGACCTGCAATCTGTGGCCAAGCCTGTTCAATCAGGTGCTGCTCGTCGTGCGTCTAATCACTTTTGAAGACGTAAGACAGTTTTGCCACGCATCCAGCACAAATCGAGTCGACTTTCTTTCTTCTACGAATTGGACGGTAGCGCACAATGCGAAAAGGCTACCTTTAATGCATCCCACATTTTACCTTAAATTTCTCAAAAGCTATGACTTTTTCATCAGCCATACTTTTATGATTTGACATATTCAATTGCGATATTATACTGAGCAAATTGCATTTGAAACTTACACATTCACAGCACGCCTGGATCTAAAAAAGGATGCACACGAATCAGACACGCGATCGTTGCCGTTTAGAAATGAATCTTATCGAAATAATACGGCACAATGCTCTTCATTCGCCCCTAAACCTTCCTTTGCAAGCCGCCTGCATATCAACAGCACCGTCTTGGAAGTTGAAGATGTCAAAGCTTGTAGCTACAGATTCACTAGCACTGTCGTTGCCGCTGTCGAGCAAGAATCAAAACACAGCAAAACAACGCAGTAGTATCGATTTTGAACACCCACCAGAATACCAAAGCAAAGTCGAGCGTACCTCGTACTCGGTGAAGTAAAACGAGCTTTTTCTTGTTCACGCAGTGCACAGAGTCGTTTTAGATGTGCATGCATCAAGGATGTCAGGTATTGGACCTGCATGGATGCCACCACCGCCTCCATAGACGCCCCGTCCTGTCTGAATTATGAGCGTGATTAAAGCTTTACAAGAGTAATAATAAATAAAGCAGTTAAGGTATCGTGCTGGTGGTACCTCTTGAATTCCGCAGCAACCTGTTTCACCAGACCCCACCAACGACTCGTGCTGTCCGTCACTATACGAACAGTCGCTGTTCATTGTGCGAAGCTCAGCTTCGACGTTCTTCAGTTCCTGTAGTGCTGACTCTGTGGATTTCTTGAGCATCGCAGCCGAGCATTTCAGCTCCTTACACTGGCGACGCTCTTCTTCAAGTTGCCGCAGCAGCTCGTTTTTCTCCGTCATGAGTTGTTCCTGCGACTCCTTCCACTGATTTCGGTCTGCTACTTCTGTCATCAATGTTGTCGATACCAACTTCTGCTCAACTTTTGCAATGCGACTGACAAGCTGTTCTTGGTGCGTTTGAGCTTGTGCAAGTCGTATTTCTAGCTCCGCTGTCTCACTGACATCCTCTTCTTCAAATTGACGAAATTTAAGGTTCATGACTTCAAGTTCCTGTCTAATGCTAGTCGACTCGGTAAGTAGTTGAGCGTTCTCCGCCTCAATATTCTGTCTGTCGCACTCCAGAACCTGTAGTCGCTTGTCTGCTGATCGCTGACACAAGGCAATGGCGTTCTCCAGGTTATCCTTGTCCGAACGCAAAGCCTTCACTTGGGTCTGCAACGTTGCGACAAGTTCCTGATGCATGTTCACCATTGCCTTCCAATGTTCAATGTCTTCGTTCGCTTTGTTCTTTGTCACTTCCAGCTCCTGTATGACCTGTACCTCACTATGCTCCATCTCGTGTCTCTTATTCTTTAACGCTTGCAACTCCACACTCAGCATCTCTGCAGTGTCTCTCAACACCGCCAGCTCTTGTTCCAGCTCGCTCACTCTACGTGAGCTTTGCTGTTCTGCGTTTGTCATCTGCTTTATCTCGGACCGTAGCTGTTCTTCCGTGATAGACTGAGCGCCTTCATCGTCACTGTCTCGGAGCACGTGACGAAGCATTTGGTCAGCTTCTGCTTCTCGTTGTGCCTTTTCCGCTCGTGTCGCCACCTGTCGCGCCACCTGAACATCCCTTATCAGCATCTCAATGGTCTGTTCTGCTTCGATCAGATCAGCATCTTGATCTTGCAGCTCTCTGCGTAGCTGAGCAACCTTACGTTCTTGCTCCTCGTCCCTCAATTTATTCGAACGCTGCATCTGCTCTACCAGCTCGTCAATGCGGTGTTTCTGGTCGATAGTTTCTTGCTTTAAGCAATGGATCTCTGCATCTTGCTCCTTTATCCTCTTGACGTCAGCATGAGAGCGTTGGTACGAGAGCGACATGCTACTCTCGCTTCTCCATTCACGATGAAGATACTGCGTGCGGAATTGAAGTTGAAGTGACAATCACTCTTGTCCGCATTTTCGGCCGATCAATGTCACTATTTCTCTGTCACTCAAACACGAGCCCAATGCGATGGAGAATGGCGCCGACTTGGTGGAGTTGCTGCTCCTTCACATGGACCCAAAGTGCGTATTCCATGTCCAGAAATAATGTAAGCAGGCGACGCAATCTCTCGAACACACCAGGAATATCTGATGTCTACCTTGTAACCAACACCAATCGTGAGAAGGGTCTGGCATTCGAGGAGCACGTTGTGACGCTCATGCAGTCACTCAACTGTGAACTACAGGCGACGCAGCAGTCACGAGATGGTGGCATTGATCATCAGGTTGGAATTACACTTGGAATGCGTGTTGCAATAAGCTGTAAAAGTTAATGATGTTGCTGTTGCTGATCCTTTTTAGGGATCATGGACGTTGCCAGATTTAGAAGTTGAGGTGGTGACACAGTGCAAGAACGAGAGCAAACCAGTGGGCGTTCACTATGTGCGAGAATTCTATGGCGTGCTGGGCCTCTTTCCACCTACAACTGTGGGGCTATTTGCCTCGGCATCAGGCTACAGTCTCTATGCGCAGCGGTTCTTCTTACGGACGACACATCCGGCAATTCTTTGCACCGTAGATATCGTATCAGGTCGTCTCACTTCCTTTTTACTAAACGACAGTTGCCAAACGCTGCTGCCCAAGCTTACAGTAGGCTCCTTGTTCGTGAACCAGGAGCATGCTCTCGTGCTCACCTACGGTGACAAAATCCTCGGCTAAAGTTTGTCGCACTGCAATGCATCACTACTGTTTTTCCAACTAGATCCCACGAACCAGAATATAGAGCGCAAACGTCCACAGCTCAACAACATTGCGCCGTCCACTGTCATATTGCCAACTCTTCCGGATACGGCTCGACGGACCACACGTTGCTGGCCGTGGCCTTGACTTTTTTGCTATGTCTTGGGTAAAGCGTCACGGCTACCACGCTGGGGTGAAAGCCAGGGTTAAGCTATGCTGCGAGTTCTGTCCTCGGTCGAACAGAGATTGACGTCCAGGATCGGCCTCATGGTCTGTTCGTTTTGACACTAGATCGGGCCAGCATGTGGGCACAAGTATTTTGGCAAAAGGTAAGAGCAAGTGAGCATGTTTTCGTGTGTACATCACCGACTCATTGTGCTTTGCACGTGCAGGCCTGAAAGAGCTCGACGTTGGTAGATCTGTTTGTCTTGGCGTCTCAAGCGTGAAACAGTAAGGTTGGCATGACATGAAGTGGATAGATGCGTTTTAGCCTGCATTTGAACGACTGTTCATTCACAGTAGCTGGGGCAACAACGATGTAACATCGGTATGGTAGCGCAGAACTTCAAGGTATTCAGGTGTGCCTGACGCTGGTGATTCCACTTGATCTAGGGCGGTCGCCTCGCGGTCCGTTCGTTCGAAGCATGAAGGTCATCTTTCTTGTTGAGCAACTAGACTTGTCAAGACACGGAAGACGTGCAGATTCGCCGTGTCCCTTCATCCTCAAGTGCCTTTATCAGTGAGAGTAACAACTCGTTTGTCGGTGTGGGGACTCCGTGCCGCTTTCCGCCTGCAACGATGCGCCCGGTGATAGCATCGATCTCTGTTCTGTTTAACGCGACGCCGAAATTCAAAATCAAGATGTGAGCATACGCACAACAACGTTAACAGTAATTTGCTTGCCTTGAACCGCGACGCAGATCTGCCAACATGGAGCACACGTTAGCACCAGTGTTCAGTGCCACCTCGAAAATGTCTTCGACTAGTTCCTACACACGCAAAAAGCATACATATTTAGCTCACGTACTAGGCAGCTCAAGCACCTGCAGCCATCACTCGTACTTTATAAGAACATTTCAGAGAAATTCTCTCGCAATTTGCCACTGCAATTGCCTCCTGCACTACCAAATTCACACAATGGCGACTGCCTTCAGTGCTTGCCACACTCTAAACAACAATACCAAATTACGCTTGTTATAAAAAAACACTAGGGCGTTTCTACTGAAACTTAAGCTCACCCGGTTCGGTGCGTCCAATAGGGACGCTACAGGATTGATTGCAGCATTTACAATCAGCTTGCGCCAGAGCATTGCTTGCATTTCATTGGCATCTAGCACTTCGCAGTGTAGCCCTTTTACACAATCCGAAAACCCACGTTACCGTAAGAATGCATTACAGACACCCACTATATATAACACGTTTCGTACCAGCAGCAAGGAAGACTCTCGCAAGCATATGCATCTTGGCATCACTTTCTTTTCGCCACAGCATTTCTTCTCTAGTAACATTAATCTCCTTCTCCATCCCAGGCACATCAAAAGGTGCGAGATACGTCTTTCCCGTTTCTAATCCACTCGTCACCACTCTTCCAAATCGCAGCACTCGTCCACCTACAAACGTCACTCCACTCGCAAACTGCCATTGGTCTTCAATTCTTCTTCCTTCTTCCTCTTGAGGCACTTCTCCCAGTCCGTTCTGGAGCAACACACAAAGTGCGTCATGTTTCAACAAGTGTCTTTTCTTCTCTCGAAGCTCTCGAATCACACCAACGCTGTCGTACGTCTTCACCGCGACCAACAATATATCCAGTTCGTTACCATGTCCGTCCTCCCCTGTATTTTCAAGTGTGCGAACCCGTACGTTCGGTGCATTTTCAACTATTGCCGCCTTTTCGTCCGAATGCACCTGAAATTCGAGGGTCTCCCTCCTCTGTCCTTCAAGAGACAATTTTGGTTTCATCTTCGACGTCCAAACGCCAAATTGCTCACGCTTTATAAAGGCTTCAACGTGAAGTATCGGTAGTTCATTCTTGGTCTTAAATTCATTGGCCAACAATCCCAGTCGAGTGAAGAAAATGGTTCCAATAGCTCCCAACCCCAAGACACCCACGCGCAACTCATTCGTACGAGGGCTTCCAGCTGCTTCTTGAGATGTCACAATCGAGTATGGAAAATGAATTGCAGCTCGCAGTGTACGGGAATTGCTTATTGCTGAGACCCATCGACGTCTCCATACCCGCAGCATCATTTGCTAATCAAAATTGACAAAAGTCGGTCTAAATCACAAAGCCGTTTTTTGTCTAACATGTTGATTGCTCATAAATAGCAGCTAATTACGAGGCAAAAAAGTAATTAAGACTAGGAACGACTTTAGACTACCGGGAGAAAGAGTCCATAATAAAGACAAGTTTACCAGACAGGTCCGTGTCTATCGCATGAACCTTTCTAGTAAAAATCGAGTGATAATGCAGACTATCGATTGATTTCGCAAACATACACTCGATCTATCCTCATTCAATAGATGATTCACAAGCTACCTGGTACAACCACTATATACTGTGAGTGTTTTTTTCCAAAACAGAGACAAACAAAGCGACACGAACGGTTCTAATTCGCTCCCAGACGCCAGGCACGCAACCTTCCTCCTACTCGTTGTGTTGTAAAAAACCAAACGTGTTGACCCAACGTCTCGGCCTGCAAAAGATCGTCAATCGTAGACACCAGAGCACCTTATGCACGATCACGGCTACTGGTTGGTAAGTGTGCCCAGAATCTTCTGGCAGGGATTGTACAAGATTGTTTCTTCCAAGCAATTTTACCAATTTATTTGATTGCTAACGGATTGTCATTATGTGTGTAGAGTCTTCTTGCATCTCAATTAACATAGCTTACCTAAAAAAGCAATCGCTTCGATAAAACAAGACCATCATGCATTGTACACAACATCGTCCGAGTAGATCAATATGATTCATTAAACTAAATTTGCTCCTTATTCTGTCAATAATCACCCCCCCCCCCACAACCCGCAACTTAAATCCATATCAAAATGAAGCCATTTTCTCATTCGTCATCTTGTTACGTCCCCCTCAAGTATCTTCATTAATCCTTTTTTTCAATCCAAATGCTGCCAAGTTCTCAATTGCAAGTGCTACGTCGCACCCCTAATGCTTTCCAACTAACTCTAGTACGTGCCTTATCGGTCCAAAGAGGCAATGCCACCACAGAAGAGCTGCTGCATGCATTGGACAAGTTTCAGAAAGAATCGGCCAGGAAGACGGTCCCGTGGTTCTTGGCGAATATGCCGCCCTCTTACTTTCGCTCTATCCATGAGGAGGACCGTTTGCAACACCTTAACGCCATCACAGCGCTCGTAAATGCCCAGCAGCCCGCAGTGTTGCTTCGGTCGCTCGACCATCGTGTCTTCTCACACTTTCGCTCGGGCGCCAACTTTCCTGGTCGCTTGGCTAATGTACTGGATCAATTGCCACAATCAGTGGATGGAACGACTCTTGCTCGTGTAAAAATCTTCACTGCTCGGGATGACTCCTTGGGGCTCGACATTTTCCGCTTTGGCCAGCAAGAGCCGTTTTTAAACAAGACAGAAGATGAAAAACAAGCTCGGAGTACGATTCAGACATTCTGTGCAGAGATTCAAGCAGGAAAATATGCCGGTGACAAGTCCTATCCGGAAGCTGGCCCACATTTTGAACCAGAGGCAATCGACACCTTTTTGAACCACAGCAACACCATGTACGTGCAGTTTAGTAACCCACGTCGATTGGCATGGCAGATGGAACTATTCAGCAGAGTACGCGGTACGGAAAGTGTTGCGGTGCATGTAGAGCACAAGTGGGAGACTCGCAGCGACGAGAACAAGCTTGCTAGTGGGACGATCCCGCAGACGATGCTGACTATTGCAGCGTCCAACGTTATTCCTAAGAGTTTCATGCAGAAAGCTGCGACGTACCTCGGTCTGTGCAACTTGAACGTGGTGCGTGCGCACTTGGACGTGGTGAAGGACCCGCAGAACAACGAAGCCCACATTGCTATGATTCGAATCCTCGTGCAGCCCAGCGCGCAAGTTTTGGAGGATAAGTTTGAGTTCGAGTGGAGCAAGATCGCGGGTAATCTCAAGTATCTCAAGTGGGTGGATGATCGCCCCTTGCAATTGACGTTGCAGCACCCAGACCTGGGACTTTCACGTGCTGAGGTCATCCACGCGTACGGCAACATGCTACACGGTGTGTTGGCGAAGAAGGACCCCTTTGCATACTCACTGATGCGAATTTTGGAGATACTGGAGCACGCCCAACACTTGCCTTTGGCTTCGCGTATTGCCGACTTCTTCCTGAATAAATTCGACCCACAGCAGGAACGCATCATGACAGATGCAGAGCAGGATGCGATTGTCGACGAGCTCAAGAAGGCGATCCGCCACAATGTCGAGCTGGAGGAGGCCATCCTACTCCTGAACAGCATGACAGACGCTGTCCGAGGTACGCTGCGTACGAACAAGTTCGTTCACGACCGCTACGCGTTGTCGCTGCGCATGGACCCGAATGTTATGGGCTATGGTACCGTCGGCAAGGACACTCCGTACGGCGTGTTCTTTATCTACGGCCGTCGGTTCAAGGGCTTCCATGTACGCTTCCGTGACATTGCTCGCGGTGGTCTGCGTATGGTATACCCCGGCACGACAGATGCTCACGCGCTTGAGAGCTCTCGCCAGTACAATGAAGCATATAACTTGGCTTTTGCTCAACAACTCAAGAATAAAGACATTCCGGAGGGCGGTTCCAAGGCTGTGGTACTTTGCGACCCTATCGTCGGACCTATTGGTGACGTTGCTCCGCGTGACTTCATTATCCGTAAGAGTGTTAAGGCTTTCTCAGATGCACTGCTAGACCTCAACACCACGGATGAAGAGGTCAGATCAAAAATCGTAGATTACTACGGCAAGGACGAGCTGATCTACTTGGGTCCGGATGAGAACATTATCCCGAGTGACATTGTCTGGATGACGAAGCGAGCTGCGTACCGCGGTTACCCGATTCCGCGTGCCTTTATCAGCTCAAAGCCCGACGCTGGATTCAACCATAAGGTGTACGGTGTCACGAGTGAAGGCGTGGCTGTGTTCGCTGATGTGGCTTTGCGCTCACAAAATATCGACCCTAACAACCAGCCGTTCACGGTCAAGATTACGGGTGGCACTGATGGTGACGTCGCTGGCAATGTTATTAACATTCTGCACCGCGAGTACGGAAACAATGTGCGTATTGTTGGCATTTGCGATGGCACGGGTGTGATTGAGGATCCACAGGGTCTGGACATGCAGGAGCTTCTGCGTCTTGTGCATGAGTCGCTGCCATTGTCGAGTTTCGATGAATCTAAGGTTGCAGCTAGTGGCGTGAAGTACGACATTAATACACAGGAGGGAGTCCGCGCACGTAATTCGATGCACAACCGCATCAAGAGCGACTTATTCATTCCTGCTGGAGGTCGGCCTAATACCATTAACGAGAACAACTGGCGCGACTACCTGGACGCCGATGGAAAGCCATCGTCAGGCTTGATTGTGGAAGGTGCCAACCTATTCATCACGCCCGAAGCGCGTCAACTGCTTTTCGACAACGCTGGTGTTGTGATTGTGAAGGACAGTTCGGCCAACAAATGCGGTGTGGTTTGCTCTTCGTACGAAATTGTTGCTAGCATGTTGCTGGAGACAGACGAGTTCCTGGCTGTCAAGGACGAACTCGTCCTGGAGGTAGTGGACAAGCTGCGTGCGTTGGCACGCGTGGAGGCACAGCTTCTCTTCCGCGAATGTAAGAAGGACCCGACATCGGCACTTCCGCCCGCCAGTGAGCGCATCAGTCGCGCAATCACTCGCGTGCACGACGCGGTTCTGGCTCATTTTGACAATGTGTGCGAAGAGGACCAGCAGGTCCTGTTTACCCTTATCGAGGAGCACCTGCCGCCCAAGCTTCGCGAGCTGGCGCTGGACCGAGTGCAGCAGAATGTGCCGCTCGCTTACTTGCGTTCCATTGTGGCCTCGAGTCTGGCCAGCAAGATTGTGTATCGTGAAGGTCTGCAATTCGCTGAGGCACTACCGGACACCAACTTGGGCAACATGGCGTTACAGTACCTAAAGCAGGAGAAGAAGGTGCAGCGCCTCGTGCACGACGTACGCTCGTCGCAGCTTCCAAACAAGGACGATATCGCCGATTTGCTCGCACGTGGCGGTGTTCGTGCCGGAATGGACACGCCTCACTAGGCGAAGAGGCCTCATCGTGAGAGGTGAAAGCAACAGATATTCAAAACCTATTGACATGGATGCTTTACCAGCGAAACTGTTGAACACTATCACCAATTCCTATACTGCTGTTGAGAAACTCGCCAAGTACAAATCGCGTGTTGCAAGAATACATCTTGCTGTAAAACTGCTTTTTATATTAAAAGTATCATGCCGGATATCAATAACGCTATTGTACAATGACCAGCTTTGCTGACAATTTTTCGACTGACCGCAATGTAAGATAGCTGCGGTCAGCAGAAACTTGATCAGCAGTACCATGTTCCGACAGTTGGTAACACTATGTGGACGATTGGGACAATAAAGGTGAGGCTTCAGAGCAAGCTAAGCCTGGAGCAACCGTGGCAACTTCCGACATGGCGAAATCTACAGAGATGTGACTTCATACATAGTCCAACATCAGCGTGTCCGTATTTTCCTGCTTGCATGCTTTTTTGTGATTTGCGTTGTGCGGTGGGGGTGATCGTCAGCTAGTAGTTTCGACTTCAATGATTCTCGAGGCAAGGCTCAACGGTGCAAAGTATATGAAGTTGTCACCTGCATTCCGAGTGAAGAGTAAGCCCAAAGGTGTAGCTGCAGACGCAAAATGTTTGACCAACCAGCATATGTATTACGCTCACACTTATGGAGCGCGAGTCGAAAGCTCGTTGTCCTCCCTTCGATAAGTTGTCGGCTTCATGATTGGATTCTGCCTGTTTCGAGGAGGTTCTCGTAGGCTCGTTTGTCTTGGCGATCCAGCTGCTGAAGATGCTCGCGGCGCTAGAGTTCATTGTGATCCACGGCTCGACCATGAAACGGGATAAACTTTGTAAAGCTACACTCGGTGAGATCACACCCGGATCGTTTTCTCTACAGCAGAGCAAAAGCCAAAACGTAATCGAGCCTACCAGTTACGACCTTTATAGACTAGGCAAGTTTATGCTTGTCGGTGCAGTGCAAAACTGAGCTCACCCTTTTGATGCCGTTTCAAGACATAAACAATGAGAAACACAAGGCAGGAAGCACATACACGTTCACGGTAAAATATAATCCAGTTTTTTTAGTTGTTTATCGTCTGACCATTGAAGTTCAGCACCTATTTGCGCCACGCCGGCCAATGTCCTAACACCACAGACTAGCCAGAGTCGCATTTAACAAGCCTGGTGCAGCAGCAGGATTGGTACTGTAATCCTCAGTTTCTTTCGCTTTCACATCCGTGTCAATATGGTCCCACCATAACTTCTGCGAGCCTGGGAAATCGCAGCGGCTGCGATTTTCACATTTCATGTGCGAAACTAACAATTGCAGAGTTACACCTGTTAATGGTTACATCTTGGTCAGGATTCATCATCTCGACACAGTCGAGGAATAAATCTGCTGAATTACTGCGTTCTCGTCCCGGGGTTGCCTGTTGTCGCAAAGCCTCCACTCTGGACTTCCTTATCCACCGTTTCTTGTCCTCCCATGGATTTTCCGCCATCGGAAGCGTATCTATCGCGGCCGCCGTACTTTCACAACTATTAATGTTATTATTATCCAGCTGTACCCTTGGTAAACCCTGCCACGCCGACTGATGATTCTGCAAAGATGGTCCTTGAAATGGCGAAATTGGATCCAGCTTTACCGTATTCGAAGTCTCACGCGTGACATGGGGGGAAGTAGCACTGACGATTCACTCTCCACTGGAAAGAGAAGCCTCGGCGACGGCAACAACGTCACCGGCGATGGCGTTGCCTTCAAAGTCTCTGTTGAAGACAACCTCAACGGCGACAACAACGTCGGGATGCTAGAGCCAAATCCAACTTGAGAGCTTATCGGTAAGAGAGACGTCATATTCAGCGCAGTCGAAGCAGTAATTGCGGATCCGTTCCACATTGGGGCTGAAGGAAAAACTGCAGGTTGAATCCACTCCCGTTTCTGTATTGTCATCGATAAGGACTCGTTTTCCATCGGTTCTGGCCAATTTTCTTCAACTCGACCGTGAAGTTTCGCTGCTAGGCGGCAGCGACGACGGTGGGTCGAGTACCAGTGGTTTTTGATGGCGTTATCCGTCCTGCCTGGCAGCAACTTGGCGATCTCGGCCCAACGGTTGCCCAGCCGCTCCTGAGCCGCCAAGATGAGTTGCGTCTCGTCCGCTCGCCACGGAGCTTTGTCAATGTTTGGGTCGAGAAAGTTGAGCCATCGAGTGCGGCATTGCTTGGGTGTGCGACCAGGTAAGAGAGTCACGATCTTGGCCCAGTGCTTAGTGCCATAGTCTCGCACAAAGTGAAAAATGACAGCGTCGTCCTCGGGAGTCCAGGCACGACGCTTGTCTCCGCTGGAGTTGCATAAAATTGGAGAATCAGCAATGCTTGACGAGAAATTCGGAGAGTCCATGAACGCAATGGAGACCTGCATACTTTGTATTATTAAAGGAAAGGGAGATTAGTCATACTGTCGCATTAGTTGGTCTATAATCTTGTGGGTATCTGATACTTACGTGCCTTAGTCGCCTGGTTGACCGTTAGTTGGTTTTTGAAGTCGATGACGACTGCATAAGTAATAGCGCATGTTAGCTCAAAAATTGCGACATGCCGCATGTAACGGTCGTCACCACAGAAAAGCGCCATGCGACCTTTGCGCTGCCAAAGAAAGAAAAAGGAATGGACTGTCGGGAGTTTCGGGAATGTGGCGAATTTGGTAGCGGCACCCTGCAGTACTCAAACCATGACGGCAAAGCTGTTACAGTTGGTGCCACCAGTGCCTTATTGGTTGCCATGGAAGCAGCGTTGGCAGTTGTGGGCCGTCTCGGCGTATGCTGCGGCACAAAGTGTCGTCAGGATATTTTTCAAGACCTCGTCCATGGATTTAGAGATAGGAACTCTCGTCTGATGCGCTTACCTCCTTTGGCTCGCCTTAATCCATCACTGACAGGAACAACCATGTGTTTTGCACCGGGCACCCGATAATCGGCTTTCTCGGTGCGTAATGGGCCGAGAAAAGGCCGGTTTGCCCGTTTTATCAAGCACGTCAGGGGTTTGCGCGGCCAGCACTTCAAGCTCTCGGTGTCGGCAACGACATGTGCAACAACACGTGCCTTAATAAGTGAAGTTGCAAATGCTTGCATTCAAAAGTTGAAGCTATTGCTATTTTTCCGAAGCATGTTCCCAGTTCTTGTCGTGGGGACTTTTCGAGAGCAGATTCTGATCTGCTCGACATGTAAATAAATATGCGGCCCTTGACAGAAGAATTTGCTAAGTGTCGCCTTCGATATAGTTTATTCCGTGATACGCACGTGATGTGTATTTGCTCCCATTGAAGAGCTCTGCTAAACACCTTTAACAGGGCTCCGAACTACGACTACTAGAGCATCTTCACATTTAGTTCTCAGGCAAAATACGCACGTCAAGTTTTTAAAAGCTGCAAAGGTCAAGCACACATAATATATTGCGCTCTTCAGGCGGGAGGAACGCCGCACCTAAATTTGAGATACCCATAATCTCGTATGCCTATGGAGTAGGAACATTACGGCTCGCGGTAGAGCCACTCACGGTGACGACAAAACCGTCGACGATGCGCTAGATATCAAGACTTCTGATGATCTTTCGTCTTATGAGACCAAAAAGTAAAAAGCACCTAGTTTGCCATGCTGTATGTAATACGGGTTCGAAGCCAAGGTTCCAAGTCGCTTATATGAAGCAATTCCCTGACATGAAATTAGGCAACGCTGGGTGTGGTGTGTTGGAATCATGGGGGCGTACGTAGCAACCGCTGGACAATTGAGCGTGCAACCTGCACCCGGTTGCAATTCCCCACAAAACTACGCAAACTTAAACTTAACCTTACCTGTTTCTCCACGTACCAGACACTTGCAAGCGATTGTTCACTTCCTTAATAACACACTTGATCTGTGAGAGGCGCTGAGTGAACTCGTCGGTGACAGCGTTCGAGAGAGTTGGCATTGCCAGACGTGTTGAGGTCAGCCAGCGTCGTCCGTGATGTATTTGTACAACGTCTGTAAGCTGTTGCAAAAGAATGACGGGAGACATGAATGTGTCGTGTCGCTCCAACTTAAGCAGATCCCAGTGGAATTGACGCCTTTGTGAATATACGGGTGGCTCCAAAACCTTCCTGGTCTACGCAGACCCATCCGCACACTGAATATGTTGTAGCGGATGGCCATTGCAATTCCCACGTTAAATATAAGTGAAGCAAGCTAAATGTGCTTCTGACACGTTGTCAGGCCGACCATCAGTCACGACGGACTTTGCTCCTCTGGTGTGAAATTCAGTCGCTGGCGAAGATGCCATAGTCGGCTTGCAGCTTCCACGCGTAAGAGCAGGGTTACACCGATACTTATGGGCAGACAACTTGTTCCAGCCTTGAAATCCTCCTCGTGCGACGCGAACATCAAATACGTCGATATGCCACCAGTGACCATCGTGGCTATGTGGAGATCGATCTAGGACGTTCTGGAGCTTTCGCATGTACACGGGGTCACCGAAATTGGCAGGACATCAACGTGTCTGCGCGAGAATTATACAAGTCACGCTTCAGCTATAGAACCTGCCAATTCCAGCCGATTGCTGGACGTCAATGGGATATCTGCCTTACCGGCTAATGACTGGAGCAACGTGGGCATATAGTTGTTCACATGCCGCCCGAGAAAGACGCTCTAGCTCCTGGGCAATAAGCTGTAAAGATGTCCCTTCATAGCGTCGTCGCTATCATTGTCTCCTGATCAAACTCGCAGTTTACGAGAGCGTTTTATAAAAACCAAAATTCAGCTACGACAATCACACGTAGTGACACGCGCGATGTCTCACTTTACACAACTACATCTTGGCTTCCTTGAGAAGCAAGAAGGCCGGTGCAGGGCCAGCTCGTTTGAGCTTGACATCGCCGAAATTTGATCTAACTGCAGAGCTACAAATTTTCCACTCGGTTGGAGATCTGATCTGCATTCAGCTTGTTTCGGAAACGAGTCAACCAGGTAGTGACAGCTCGTGTAGGCCAGTCAATTTGACAATATCGTAGTCATGAACAGCTACGTAACTCGGGATGGCGAGCTGCCACAAGTCATGCTTGGTGAAAACACAACAATAGGAGGACACTTTCTCCTTTCATGTGGTGCTGTCATCTTTAGACTCTCACTTGCTGTACTCCATGCCAAAGACGTAAGCTTAACTAAGCTTACTGACAGAGCCTGGGTTGGCTTGCACCGCTGTTCGACTTTTTAAAAATGGCCCTACAGCACTGGAAAGCTACACAAGCACTGATGAGTAAATTTCAACTCAATGTTTCGTTGTGGCTTTCCTTCAATCATTGAGGCGAGAACTCCATTTGGATGCATCAAGCATCTCGAGGCAATACTTTTTCTTGTGTGGTTCATGGTATGACATGTAAGAGGTATCGCCAACTTTGGTAGTCTCTGTAGCGATCTGCTGTGGCAAAGCAAATTACTCAACAGCAAAAGCCATGAAATAGTAGTAAAAGTGCAATCCAACCTCTTTCTCCATAATACGATATCTTGCAAATTGACGGAACTGCGCTTCGGTTATCTTCCCGGCTTCGTTCATCAGCTCATCATGATTACCGCAGAGACTGACAGTGTATACGGAAGGTGGGATGTCGAGTACTTGATAGTACAGACCGCCCTGCACCTTTAATATGCTGTGAATATTCCTTCCTACTCGGAACATTTCACCTTCATCTGCCGGGCATGGAAAGATTAAACAACATTTAAGCATTGATAACCGAGAAAAACCAACTGAGGTGGCACGAGATGATTCCACCGAGTTTTGGAGGTGCATAAGCTCGTCAAAATTCTCCTTTCTGAAACTTAGTTGCACCGCAAATACAACATCACCACCATTGATAAGCAAATGAGTCAATAACATGTCCTCGAGAACATACTTACGGCTCCCCTGATGCCGTTTGAAGCTCGATCTTGTCGCCAAAGCGTTTCTTGAGTAAGTGTGTGTGCATCACAGTCCGCCACATCATATCCAGTTCTTTTACGGGAAAGAAGTAAGCCTATAGCAGTAACAAATATGGTCATGAGTGGTAAATACTAAATGAAAGTCGTGCCGTCATCAATGGACGTACAAAAAAACCCTGGCAAGAAGAATCTCCTGCTTCTTCTGTTTCTTTCCTCTTTCGTTTCTGACTTATTGGCGTTTCAGGTATCGCAATCGTTGAAGAGTCGGAAGCTCGTGAGTTTCTTGTCCTTTTACCAGTAGTAGGGCTATCTCCATTCAGCAGACTCGCCACAGTCATTCGATTGCTTGCGTGACGAGGTATTTGTAATTGTCTGCTAGTCGCATTACCGCCTGTATCAATGTTTTTTTTAGAGGCAAAGGCCAGTACAGACTTCAACTTTTTTGTTGCTGCCGCCTGTCATACTCACACGTATAATTCACTAGAGTCAGTCCCACACAAAGAATACAATCCACGAGACGACATACTCTATCCAGCTTCATCGCTGGCTGGTTCAGCAGAACTACTTTACTATGTGCGAGCTTGCTCAGCGTCGTATTCAGCAATTCTATTTCATCACACAGTTCAAAAACTCAGTTCATCGTCTGCCACCCACCCATTCCAGAGAAACACTCCACCTATCATGCTCTTGACCACCACTTGGTCATCAAAAGCGGCCCAAAAGTCGTCTGCTTTAGCTTGCATTTCCGTCTTTTTTGACGTGGTCATTTTCATTCTCTTCGTCAACGGTGGCATTTCCATCACATCTGTGTCATTGTACAAATCGTCGTTCTCTTCCTCTTCCTCTTCCTCTTCATCTTCGTTGTCTTCACTATCCAAACTTTCTTCTTCATGAACCTGATAGCCGAGCATTCCACGTCGAGTGTAGTGAACATTTGACTCGTGTCGATTGCTACTAGGAGCTGTAAAGTCGTCACGCTCTTCCTCATGCATGAGATCTCGCCAGTCGTTCTCGAGCAGCCAAGCGGACGCCACAGCCACGTTTTGGCCACAGATTTCGAGCTGCAATGTAAGAGGCAGTAGAATTAATGTCTTGATTGATTGTATTTTATTATAAGACCTATACGTACCACTCGAACAAGTGCCTCCGTTGGCACTAAAGAGAACATATTGCAGAGACTCTCCATTGCTTGATTAAACTTTTTCGTAGCTTGAAGTTTTATGTTGAATAGTACTAAAAACGCTTTTAATGCGTTTTTACGTGTATCGGCACTTTTAGTTTTAGCGTCGAAATTATATGAAGAAATTAATATTTGTCAATTTTCGCGAAAAACTAACTAACAGACTATTCAGTTCATAGTCAAGCTTTCAAATATTTTACCAATGAAGTAACATATGTAGCCATCTCTTTACTAATGGATGCGAGGAATCAAGTTGCATGTAGTACGGTCCTCCCTATCATACTCAGGCAAGTGAGCGAAACCGAGCACGGCTGCAAGATTTCATGAGTATCTCTTTATTAGGCAGACTCAGGGTCTGCTTTGCAACAACGATGGGTGTAGGACCGAGTGCATCTAGTTGGTTGACAAGCTGTTGACACCAACATGGCCCAAGAAGCTGTCGGGTTGCGAATGGTAGCTAAGTTCTACATGCAAAGTGGCTGGTATCTTGAAAAACGCTGTCAGACCAACGCGTTGAGTAAGCACGGGCACAAGGTGCGATACGCAATCGCACAGCTAAAGAACCAGAGGTTTAACAAAATCCACATGCAGGCTTTTTCAATTACACTTTTCAAAAATGACATCAAGGCGCAAACAGACGCGACGGTGTCATCAGGCGGGCACAATCATATATTTGTAGCTTATTGCGCTTTAGATCACGTCATCTTTACGTCTTCGCCTAAATGACGAGAAATTGTATCTTGTTTAGCGATGTTGTATGTGTTAGCGCAAGCCCATTTCAATGCATGTCTTTATTGAAGCTCTGATATTCGAGCACGATTTCGCGGGAAAAATAGACTAGTTATTATACTTTAAGATCTATGCCACGCAACCCCTCAAAACACCCGGAGGTGATCTGCGACCCTGTTTGAACTCGTTACAGGGGGGGGGTGCCACGCCCCTCAAATTCCAGCATGAGGGTTTTCGGCCAGATCGAAAAAAATCCAAAAATTGTGGTAGATCATGTCCGCAAAAATACTGTGGCGACTTGGCATAAGTCGTTTCGTAAATGATAACGATCGAGCGATGAGTAGGGAAACATGTAACGGGATCTCACGACGGTTGGGGATTTTTCCAACATTACACCACGGATAAATAGCCATATATATTGCATATTCTTGATACTTGCCTCAATGAAGATATAAAGTATGAGCGTTAAGCCGGTAATACCGTACCATATCGGTTATGTTTCAATAAGCCATATCTGTAACGAAAATACACGACGGTTGTAACATCATTCCAAAAGCTTACGGTTGAAGTTTCTATATTGCATATAATGTATTCTTGATACTTCTCTTTAGAAACGATATTAAGTATGAGCGTTAAAGATACGTATTCGGTCTTACCGTATCTTATTGATCCTAATACTGTTAAGAAAAAAATGAACGCGTTTCTCGCAACGCGACTAAATGTCTTACGACATGTGCAAAGACGCAATGGATGAAAGCCAAGACAAACAAAAAGAATATGCGGATGCTAAAGGCAGAAGTTGTTTTGATGATTATGAGGTCGGAGACCAAGAATTACTTAATGCTAAAAACCTACCTACCAATGTAGTATCTACCGGCTTTTGAGACAAAGTTGCGTCCGCGCTTCATCGGACCGTTTACGGTCGTGGCCTAGAAAGGGCTAGCGTATACTCTTTATTTGCCGCGAAAATTGCGTACACATCCCGTATTCTACGTCGGTATGCTCAAACCATATCGGGATCTGTCCCAAGAGAACACTAAGGCGCTCGCGCCGAGCTCATCGGCATTTGCGCGGGACGCATCATCTGCACCAAAAGGTCAAGCTGACCCTCCACTCGAGTTCGACTCTGCTCCAGCGACTCAGGGCGGATATTCATCGTCCGCACAGTCTCACGGAGATACTTCACCTCTTCAAGTAGCTCGGCATGAACTTGTGTCGGTACACCGTCCCCCTCCGGCATTGCTTGATTGACAGGGGAGCCTTCAGTTCCATGTTGAACGTCTACTGCAGATGCGTCGCCGCCATGGTCAAAACCAGTATCTGGTGAAGTGGCGGTGATATCCCGAGTCCTGAAACTCATGGGAGTTCGAGGTTCCCCTTCGGCAGGATTTCCCATACGCCGTGGACGTTTTTGAACGTCGTGCGCAGGGCCAACCTGTTGGCGATGACGCTTCTCACCAGTAGCGGTGAGGGTTGGCGAGTTAGCGACCTTGGCCTGTCGTGAACTCGCGGCTATAGAGTAGAGGAAACATTGGAGTGCTGGGTAGCAGACGCATATTGCGTTCGTTGAGACTTTTACTTTCCTCGGGCCTTCAGTTTAGCGTAATCGTAACGCATTTTCCGTCCAAAACGAAAATCTGCCACGTCGGCAATTGCCCGTAGAGCTTACATGCTGCTTAAACGTCGCGCATAATGCGCCCAGCGGCTAAAAGCCGCATCTTCTTCCTCCTCGGTTCTCCCGCAAATAGAAGGATCGGAACATCCTTTATGGGAGGAACTGGTGACCGCGCACTTGCCTAGTGAGGCGTGCCAAGTATTGGCTTTGCGTAGTGATATAGAATTCCAGATTGCGTTGTCGAAGATCCAGCGACATCCTCGGGTGAAATGGCGTTAGGCCCAATGGCTCATCCAGAGAGGGAATGACCAGATGCCTCCTTAAGGCGTTCTTCCATTGTAGGTGGCTTGAACCTATACTGTCGGTGGTCCTGAAACCTAGTCATATTTTTCGTCCGGCGCTTGGCGCCTTCCTCTTGATAAACGGACTGCTTCTGTTATTCGTCGAGTGGGTTGGTAACCGTCACCGTTGACTATACGTCAGGCGGGTCACGTAACGCTGTTAGCGCATCTACAGCACCACGTCCAGGGAACGGTTTCGGTGCATGATTACTGTCATCTTCACCCGTAAGGGAAGGGGGGCTAAACGGGACCCATCGGGTCTTACAAAGACGGTGTCACTTTCGTAATCAATCGCTTCGTCAAGGTCGCCTTCGATGAGGTCCCGAAGAGTCTGTGACTCACTGCCAGGAGGCGTCATGTTAGGTGCCGTGAAGAAACCGTGAGGTTTATACGCTCGCTAAAGCACTACCTCAAAGAGGAAAGATGTCGAATGACATTTTGTGGGAACGTCAGTCTGGTGGGGGAGGGTGTAACGGGGTTACACGACGGTTGTAGCGTCTTTCCGAGAGTTTACGGTTGAAGTCCCCTTTGTATTGCATATAATGCATTTTGATACTTCTCTTTAGAGAGGTATTAAGTATTAGCGTTAAGATACGGTATTACCGAATACCGTACCTTATTATCGAATACCGTATCTTATCGATTAGGATTCAATAATCTAGAGCGCTGTAACAAGTACATCATACGCAAATATTTAGACGATACGTCGTCCAATTGCAAAGTCTGCACATCATAATTACTATTATAGTAATTATTATAGTGTAGGGTACTTAGAGTAGGACTATTCATAAAAATCTTAATGCATAAATAAAATCAGTTCTCATTTTGAGTTTAAGATCGCAAGTCGTTTTGCCTTGTTCTCTTGTGCATTCGTGCGTTGGTTATCTGAACCTCTAAGCTTCTAGATTGCTCTTGCACTCTGTGCGTTGGCTCCCTGAATCTTAAGCTGTCGCTTGTAGACTAAAAGTCCTCCTAGTTTTTAAGAACAGGGTGACATCTTAGTCGTTTGATTAGTTCCTAAGATCTAAGTGGCTTTGAGCCGAAATTTATATAGTTCTATAGAACTAAGAGGCGTTCAGTCTAGATAGTCTTCCTCTGACTAAAGAGCTGTGTAGGTCCGCTACAACATGGCTGTACTAAGAACATATACGTTAACAATTGGATTACACGTAGTGGTGTGCATATAAAAAATTTGAAAATTTATTCTGCACCCTCATTTGGATATTTGCACACCTTCTTCGTCCGGACATAGCCTACTTTATTAAAGACTATACGATATGCAGATAGTCTATAAAATTCATGCTCCATAAATTCCGTGTCCTCACTTAGTCCGCCCGCCATACACCTCAAATGGAACTACACATTGAACCCGACGCCATTGCCAATGCACTCGCTGAGGCAACGTTTAATTTTATAATTTACTTGTAAAAAGGATCAAACACAGTTGAACTCACCATGAATTTGCCGCAAGCATCCTCCGGTTTGGCGATAAACGCCATTCTTTCCTGCGAAGTAAGAAGTACGCGGGGACTACTGTATGCGGCATCAACTCTGTAGACTGTTGGTAATATATACTTTGCTCTATATGTGACAGAGATGACACAGCGAGATTTTTTGTAACGTTAAGCATCGACTCATTGTTAGCTGGTAATATCGTAGAATAGATATCAATAGGCTTAGAGATAGTGCATCGTAGGGCGCTAAGTACCTAGCTGGCATTAAATCACTTTTGATATTACCTTCTTCTAGCTACTACCGCTCACAACACCCTTGGTCATCCTTACATCAGATCAGTCACCGGGGACAAAGGACAGGGGCAATGGTTACTGGGTACCGGTCACTGAAAGGGACAGGTGTACAACAGCGCAGAGCCGTTACAAGTCCAGGATCTTGAAAAGCCAGTTCTTTCCTTAAGAGTTGACACGCCGCACCATCCAGAGCGAAGGGTCAAAGTTAGGTAAGAAAAGCATCCAAAGATAAAGATAAATAAACAAACTCGAATCTGCATATTACGTGGCATCTATAAGCACCCCTTCAAGCTTATCTGTCAGCTTTCACGGGCGGAATACCATTAGAGACCCCGACGTCAGGTAAAGTGACGGCTCAAGCAACGCACGTTGAACCTCAGGATAGCTGGCCTGAGGTGTCAAAACTCAAAATCGAAATTTTTCGATCTACCCATCTTTTTCGAAGAAATATTATATTCCGCCATCTCCCATTGAAGACAGTCGTGTGGTAAGATTCAAGTTCGAACGAACGCCAGGAAGTATTTTGGCCTGTGGGTTCGTCGTGAGTAGGACCACCTTAAGACCCGTTGAAGG